AGGAGGAGGAGGAGGAGGAGGAGGAGGAGGGGGAGGAGGAGGAGGAGGAGGAGGAGGAGGAGGAGGAGGAGGGCATCCATGCCGCTGCCCTCCGCCCGTGTTCCCCTGTCTGCTCGAGAGCTGAGGGCAGGCTGCAGCACCCTCTATGGCGCTCCGGCGCCCCCACCGTCGCCATGTCGAGGCGCGCGGCGCCGCGTGCCGAGGCGTGCGGGCGCGGACGTCGGCGACCGTCCGTCCGTCCGCGTGCCTGTCTGGGGCCTCCTGGGGATCCCTCGTCTCGAAGGCTGGATGCGCCTCGAAATCCTGGTCGGAACGCACCCCTGCAGAGGTTCGGGGCGCAGCGGCATCGGCCCGGATCTCAGGTTCCCGGCGTCTGGGCAGAATGCTTCGGCCTCCCAGATGGGGCCCGAGTAGGTGGGCTCGGAGGTCCGCGCGGGCACCGCCGATGCACCAGCGACGTCGGCGATGGAGTCGGCGACGTCGGCGTGGGAAACATCGGGCTCCACATCGAGACGCATCACCGATGCTTCGGCGATGCGGCGCGAAGTTCCGAGTCCATCTACTCGGGCCCCATCTGGGAGGCCTGAACATCCTGCCGAGACGCTGGAAACCTGAGATCGGGGAGTGCTAATTTTTTCACGCCACGCGTTGTCGCTCGGTTTCGGGGCCCAGGGCCATCACAGATCGATCGAACTCGAAACATGCCTCAAATCATTGTGCGACTTTGAGGATCCGCTACTTCGGACATCAAGAGGCCCCCAGAGGCCCAAACAGGCCCCAATCAGTGACCCTAGAGGGCCTCGTTGTCGCACGGATACGAGTCCCACCAGCCCTTTGGGCGTGAGTGGTTTAGAGAGCTCTCTCTGTCCTCAACCCCCCAACCCCCCTTCTTCCCCTTCGGGGAGGGGTTTACCCCTCCCCCTACCCCCTCCCCCTGGGCCTGGACAGGGAGTCCCGAGTGTTCTCAGGGGGGTCTTTTTCGACTCCTGGGAGGACCAAAAAACGACGACCCTCACGAGGATTCTGGCCCCGACGGGGGGGCTCGGAAAAACCCTCTCCTCTTCTGTGAAGCCCAAATCATTGATTTTACTACGGTTTCGGCCCCATTTTGGCCTTCTGAGGGGGCAGCGCTCCTCTTCCTTCTTCTCAGAGGGGGCAGCGCTCCTATTCCTTCTTCTCAAAATCATTGCTTTTACGAAGGTTTTGGGCTCATTGTGTCCTTCGCAGGGGCTCGCGCTCATTTGCGCTTCTGCGGAGGTCGCAAGAGGCCCCCAAGAGGCCCCAAGATGCCTCCCAGAGGCTCCCAAGAGGCGTCCAAGAGGCTCCCAAGAGGCCCCCAAGAGGCCCCCAAGAGGCCCAAGAGGCCCCCTAGAGGCCCCCAAGAGGCCCCACGAGGAGCCCGAACGACTCACACAGGACGAGGGGCCCGAACGACTCACACCACGAAGAGCCCGAACGACTCACACCACAAGGAGGGGCCCGAACGACTCATACCAGGACGAGGCGCCCGACCGACTCACACCACGAGGACCCCGAACGACTCACACCACGACGCGGGCCTCGAACGACTCACACCACGAGGAGCCCGAACGAGTCACACCAGGAGGAGGGGCAGCGCTCATACAAGCCCCCCAAGAGGGCCCCCAGAGGTCCACCGTATGGCCCCAAGAGGTCCCCAGATGGTCCAGATGGCCCACAGGAGGTCCCCAGGAGGCACCACGAGGCCTCCATGAGGCCCCCGAGATACCCCCAAGAGGTCCCCAAGAGGCCCCACGAGGCGCCGAAGACGCCCCAAGAGGCCTCCGACTCACATCACGAGGAGCCCGAACGACTCACACCACGACGCGGGCCTCGAACGACTCACACCACGAGGAGCCCGAACGAGTCACACCAGGAGGAGGGGCAGCGCTCATACAAGCCCCCCAAGAGGGCCCCCAGAGGTCCACCGTATGGCCCCAAGAGGTCCCCAGATGGTCCAGATGGCCCACAGGAGGTCCCCAGGAGGCACCACGAGGCCTCCATGAGGCCCCCAAGATACCCCCAAGAGGTCCACAAGAGGCCCCACGAGGCGCCGAAGACGCCCCAAGAGGCCTCCGACTCACATCACGAGGAGCGCTTTCTCTCCCTCCTCCTTCGCCTCGTCCTTCTCCCGCTCCCCCCACAAGGAGGATGTACAAGGAGGCGGGAGGAAGGAGGAACAGGGGAGATATGCGGGGCCCAGCGGACACACGCCTGAAAAACACGACTGTCGGCATGCTTCGAGAGAGTTGCTGCTGTGAGATGGGCTGGTGGGGATACGCGAAGCGTAAAGAACTTCTCAGAATGACGCACGGCGCGAGCACACATCTGCGACAACACCTCCTGGAGTACATGCATCCAGGGCTCCCAAGGGGTCGGCGGTGCGTCGTCATCAAGTGAATACTCGTCCATATGCAATCAATGCGCTGAACTGCAGCGAAGCGTCTAAGCAGTCCGAGAGGACGGGTGTGTGACGCAAGTGGTAAGTCACGATGCCTCAATAAATCTATCCTGCCATACATCGTCGCATTAGACTTTGCCAAGCAACCCCCATAAATCCTTCACAGGTCCCAGCCGAGTCGCCCACCCATTCGGTCAATCATACAATCTCAACTGACAACCTATCAAGCCCCAAGGATCACCACTGATGTTGGCCTCATAGGCTTCTAAAGGTCCAAAAGGGCGTCAAGATGGCCCAATATGGCTTCAAAACTGGTCATGGCGGCCACAAAACGGCCCAGGATGCCCTAAGAGGGCCCAAGATGCTCACAAGATGGCCCCAAAGGGCCCCAAAGGGACCCCGAAGAGTGCCTCACGACGATGCCAAACATTGGCTTTCTACTTGAGTTTGAAAGATTTTAATGCTTTCACATGTTTGGACTCTCGGGCCATGACGGCCTAAGCGACCTCGTAGATGGACCCCACACGGCCCAAGAGGACCCCGATACGGCCCAAGAGCACCCCAAGATGACCTCCGCAGGGGCCAGATGGCGCAAGAGTGCCCTAAGACTTCCCAATACGCCACCAAAAAGCCTCCAAGAGGCCCCTAGGAGGCCGCCAATCATCCCCACAACGACCGGACGGTCTGGACGTGCACCCCGCTAAGCGGGAGAGAACTGCGTAACGACACAACCTATACGCTGAAACAGAAAACCGGCTTTCGGGCAGCTTCGTAGATGCTGGTCGGGGGGCCTGAGTCGCTCGCGGCCGAGGCTCGCAGCGGCTCGAAAAACGCCTTCGCTGCGGACTGTGCATCCCCTATGGCAGCACGATCGCTGAGACGCTTTCCGAGGTTACGCGCGACGTTCTTGGCTCGGCGCTGGACCGCCCATTCCGTGGCGCGCTCCGCGCGCCAGGGGCAGCGCCGGAGGAGCAGCACCAGGGAGGTGGGGGTCCAGCGCCGGTCCGAGACATCCGTGCGGACCTCTCCGGAAGGCCCACCTCCGTGCAGGTGTTCCCTCTTCAGGCTGCGGCTGATCCCCGCCGTCGCTGCAGAGGCTGAGGCCCGTGACGCTCTGCCGCAGCGCACGGCGGCCGGGCTGGTCGCCGTCTCTGAAGGACACGGAGCGCGTGCCCATCCGCTGCAGCGTCACGGTGCGCTTCACGCGGAGCCCGCGCGAGGCGGCGGCCGCCGACTGCCTCAAGCTCTGCTGAGCAGGGGCCTCCGCGGCCGCGGCCGCTGTGGCCGCGACGCAGTACTCCGGGAAGTAGCCCGCCGCGCTGCCGTCCAGCAGCCGGCCGTACAGCCACCCGTCGGCCGCGTTCAGCACCTCGACCTCCTCGCCGCCGGCCAAGAACATGAGGTGGTCCTGCGTGTTGAGGCTTCGGGCTGCGCCCAGATAGCCCCCCCAAGCCTGATGGCCCCAACAAGCCTCCCGGGTGGCCGGGGGCGGCCTCGAGCGGTCTCAACACCCTGGCGCCGCCCCTGGTGGCGCCCCTGGGGCGCTGTGCGCCCCATGGCCTGACTCTGTACCTTTGGGGCCTGTTGAGGCCATTCGGGACTACCTGGGGGGGGCTGTCTGTGCGCAGCCCGAAGCCTCGCCTGTCCTGCAGGGCGTCCGCCGCGGGAACGTCCTCCGCCGAGAAGCGGCGCGCGATGCGCACGTTCTTGCCCTGCGCCGCCGCCCCGCCGGCGTGGGCCTGCGGCGGGGGCGCAGGGCCGGGCACGCTGGCGGAAACGTCGCCCTGCCAGGACCCGAGCCGCTCGACGCACTGCCGCGGGAACACGCCAGCGTGGTTCGGGGCGCGGGCAGTGTGGCCGTAGAGCCACTCTGGCCCGGACTCGGCCTCCACCTCCACCAGGTCCCCGATGGTCAGAGGAGGGGCAGGGTCGAGAGATCGGCGGCCCTGCCTGACGCTCTGCGTCGTTCTTGGGGCCTGGTGAGTGGAGGCGTCTCGTCGCCACGGCTGGGCCCACGTCGAAACACAAGAAAGAATGGATCCCAGAAGGGGTCCAAGAACCGATTCTGGACGGAGTCTTATGTTGTTCCCATCCGACTTAAGGACCACATCCCAGAAACAATTTCGAGCACCCCGAAAAGTGTCAAACAAGTGTCGAAACAGTGTCGGGCGAGTGTCTCCCAGGGCCCAACACGTGAAAACCCAACAATGTCGGTACTCTTGTGGGCGCTCGAGATTCTTCCTGGTGATCAAGGCTCAAGTAGGCTGGAGCACCATAAACCCTGGGGCCTAGTTAATGGAGGCGTCTCGTCGCCACGGCTGGACCCACGTCGAAACACAAGAAATTGAGGGATGAATCAACGACCCTACCCTGGGTTACAAGTGCGTGGTCTGTAAACCTCCTGGGAACCCCCAAAGCCTAGAGCCGCCAGGACGCGGCACATCACGCAGGGTTTACCCTGTCAGCCCACAGGAGTTTCAGCGCACAGTGCCTCGTAATCCAGGGTAGGGGCGATTTGTTTCCCCTTGAAGAAAGAATGGATCCCAGAAAGGGGTCCAAGAACCGATTCTGAGCGGAGTCGGGCTGGGCGGCAGAGCCACCGTTCTTTCAACTGTTCCTCCTCCGACATGAGCAGCTCCAGGCAGGCGTCGCACGAGCCTGGCTGGGACTGTGGGTCGAAGGCCGCGACGACGCGGGCGAGGTAACGCTCCTCGTGCCACCTGAAGTCGCTCTGGGTCTCCGCTGGAAACGCCCTGCTGCTGTACTCCTGCACTCCCACGGAGCTCTCGAAACTCATCTGGCTGGACAACTTCCGGCGTTTGCGGCGGCGCTCCCTGAAGAAAAACCAGGCCGCCAGCGCAGCCGCCGCCACGAGGAGGACGCCGAGGAAGGGCAGCCACCAGAGCTGTTCCATGAGGGGTGCGCCCTCTTCGTCGACACCCGCACCCACGGCGGCAGCGGGCGGCGGGGTGGCAGTGGTTTCCGGCTGCGCGTACGGCTCCCTCGGCTCCTCGGCAGCACGCACACAAAGAGTGCAGCGCGGGAGGGGCGCCTTGTCAGGGGCAAGAGGCCTCCTCTTGCGAGCTGCCGAAACATTAAGATCCACGCCCTGACCGTCTGGATCACTGGGCCCAGTCCCGTGGACGCGGTCGCACGGAGACGTTCCGCGCGGAGCATCCACGAATAACGGCCGCGTATCTGGTTGGTTTTGGCCCATGAGCCCAGCCCGCGAGGCCGTGGATATGGCCGTATCTCCCGCACCCGAACTTCCCAATTGCACGTTCTACGACCAACTTTCACATGACCCTAACGCACACCGTCTTATTCATGCGCGCAACATTTCCTGCCAGTCCGAAGACTTGGCTTTGCACTGAAGCTACCAGTGGAATAGCTGGACGGTGCGACTGTTGACTATGTAGTGTTGTAGCCACTTGCAAACTCAAAACACCCCACAAAATAGACCGCCGTAGAATACTTGCATGACCCGCCTGAATTGGGTCAAAAAGGCCTTTCCGTGGAAACTCTGCGCCGGATCGAAGCCAAACGAATCAATATGGCCCGCAGCTGGACGGAACAGTCCTGCAAGACCGGAGGCGCCATGCCTGGAACAACCTTGCACAGCAGCCCAAAACAAGCTCAACCCCGAATCCTCCCAACCGGGGCAACATTGTGATCTCGCAAAGCAAAACACAGTCGATAAGCCGATCTCCTCCAAAAAACAAGACAGCAAACCGTCAATCTGCTTCAACATGTTTCTCTTGGCGCGGTGGACCGCTGGGGTGGCGCGCTCCAAGAAAGACAGGACGTGAAAATTTGACACTCTGACCAGCTATCACCATAATGGCGCGACGTCCAGAGAAAAGCCCAGAAGCTCCAGCTGGCTTCCGATGCAAAGTGCTGCACGGCAAAATGCATTTCCAGGCGTGGACAAAACATAGCGCAAACCATCTTGAATGATCCACCGTCTGGTCTACTCGCATCGAAGACGTGCGTGCTCTCCTTGGACGCTTCGGATTACACCTAGTTGCCAGACCCCGACGCACGAAAAGCAGACAGACAGGCGAATTCGCCGGCCCAACAGGCCAGAGGCGTGCTAAGATCTCCGGTAACTTGTTAACAATATTTCTAGTTCGCGCGCGCGGAGCGGCCCCTGGGGGCCCCCGGACGAAAAGTACCCCGGCAAGGTCCCGAGAGAAGCCCGGGAGAAGCCACCAGACCACTCCAGGGGAGGGTATTTTTCGACACCCCTCACGAGGATCGTGGCCTCCGAGGGGGGAGCCGCAATCGACTACCCCCAAGAGCCCCCCAAGAGGCCCTGGGGGCCTCCAAAACGCCGCCAAGGAGCCCCAAGAGACTCCCAAGAGGTCCCCAAGAGGCCCCCAAGAGGCCCTAAAGAGGGCTCCAGGGCCGGCGGCATGAGCGAAGCGATTAAATAAGGATTCCAGCGCCGAGATGTTCAAGGGCGCTCGGCTGAAGGCGCCAGCAGTACAACATATGCGCGCGTAGCGAATCAAGGGAAGCGAACAGTACAGTCCCCCCAGCGCGTCAAAGTAGCACGCATGCCAATCGCGCGGGCCAAGCGCGGCACCTTGGAAAACCATATCTCCAAAGTGAAAAACCCATGCAAACACGCCATCAACAACTATATGAACTGGTCCGGGCGCGAACCATGACGAGATAACCTTCGGGGCGGTGCCGTGCACGCCGTTCGCTCTCAGTTTCTCCACCATGCGCCCCGCCCGCGCGAGTTCGAACGCGCCTGAAACAATTGCGCAATATAAGCCAACGCGTTTGCCTCGACCATTCTCCCACGGCCCACTGCAGAGGAAGAACGCGAGGGGAGGCCTGCAACCGCGGCCTCTATGATGCGCGAATTGGCCATCGCCGCACCCCCCCGCGGCGTGCAAGGATGGCAGAAGAGAACTAGCCGACGCCCGTTCCACTGACTTCGCAATTTGCGACTTCAGACGCACGCCTCTGCAAGTGTCCGGCTTAGAACGGCTGCGTCGTTTAAGCCGCGGGAGCACCCGGCAGACCTTCCGCGCGGGGAAGCCCAGCGCCACGCTCGAGAACGCGGCGGGCCACAATTGCTGCAGGTAGCGCAGATTGCCGCGCGCGCCGCCTCGAGAGGCAAGCAGAAAGACCTCTGGACCAGTCTCAGATTCTTCTCGCAATCTCCGTCGCACTCGAAATGCTGCGCGCGCTCGTGCGGTCGCAAAACAGCACGCGTGCTTTCAAGGGCTTGCCGCGTCGCTGAGGATTCATCCCCGCTGCGGCTGGCAAGCCAACCTTCGCAACGACGGCCGGCTTGAACAACGTCGCCGTGCTCTCTGGGGCCGCCGCCCACTGGCCGTCGTCATCCACGAGAGGAGGCGTCGACGAAGACGAGGCGCGGCCGGCCCGGAGCAGCGGCGCACGACGCAAGGACCGCCATTGCTTCGCAGAGATCTTCAGAACAACGATCCGTTGCCGAGGGTGGGCCGCGCGCTTCGTTCGCGCGCTCGCCCCAGAAACTCGGGGCCTTCTGAACGTGCACGTTGCTTCCGCGCGTGATCCGCCATGCCGGCGGCCCGGCTTTTCCCGTCGATCTGCCCCCGCTGCCTGTCATTCATCCGTCGGCGAAAAGACTCGCGACGGGGCGCCCATCGTCGCGGAATCTACGTTTGTGTCATTGCTGACAGATGTTCCGGAAACGTCGCCGCCGAATCTGCGGCATCGCAGTCGCGAAAAAAAAACGCCCAGTGGGCGAGGGGGAATTGCATAACCCGGCCTCGTCGGCAGCGCTGGCGCGCCAACGTTACAGGACGGCTCAGAGGGGGAGACGAGCAGCGAAACTCTTCCGATCACAATTCCACGACCGCTGGCTTCTGGAATGACCGAACAGACAGCGCCGGGCGACATGTCGGCGGGAGCAAGATCCAGAAGATAAGCCCCACGGGTGGGTTGCCGCACCTTCCTCGTGAAACCCGCGCTGCCGCAAAGTCTTTGCAGCTGTTCCGCTGCGACGGCGTTGCTGCGCGAGTGCTTGAACCGCCCTTGGTAACTACTGTCGCCCGCGATCGCTGCGGGAGTGGCCAGTTCTTTGAGGGGCGCCCACTCGGACTCCGAAGGGCAGATGAAACTATCGCCGCCCCAGGTAGGGTGGCGGCGCCGCGCAGCGAGCCGCAGTGGACTTTGACCCGCGCGGCTAAATGCGCCGACTGCGCCTGTGACCATCAGGCGACAAAATCGGAAACGCGCCAAAAACCAAAGACGAAGAATAATAATTACGCTACCGAGGAACCCCACATACTTCGTTTAATCACTTGTGTTCGCACAGCTGACGTGCAACATGTGGACAACGCTCGCACCCGCTACCATGCTGCTACCGTCGAGAGGCGCTCATAGTGGGACCACCCCCTGCGCACCCCATATGGCGTCGAGAAAGAGCCACGCCTGCTTTGTCTTGGACGTGAGGCGCGCATACCGAAACCACCCCTTGCGCACCCCATATGGGGCCGAGAACATGCCACGCCTGCTGTGCCCTAAACGAGAGGCGCGCGTAGCAGGATTCCCCCTGCGCACCCCCCCCCATGAGGTCCAGAAAATTCCGCTCCTGCTGTGCCCTGGACGAGAGGCGCCCATACCAGGACCACCCCCTGCGCACCCCCTTATGCCGATGGGGGCAATAAAATGCCACGCCTGCTGCGCCCTCCCTGCGCACCCCCTTGTGGGGCCGAGAGCATGCCACGCGTGCTGTGCCCTGGACGACAGGCGCGCATAGGGAGACCACCCCCCCTGCGCACCCCCTTTTATGGGGTCGAGAGCATGCCACGCCTGCTGTGCCCTGGACGAGAGGCGCGCATAGGGAGGCCGCCCCCTGCGCACCCCCCTGTGGGGCCGAGGGCATGCCACGCCTGCTGTGCCCTGGACGAGAGGCGCGCATAGGGGAACCACCCCCTGCGCACCCCCTGTGGGGTCGAGAGAATGCCACGCCTGCTGTGCCCTGGACGAGAGGCGCGCATAGGGAGACCAGCCCCTGCGCACCCCCTATGGGGCCGACAGCATGCCACGCCTGCTGTGCCCTGGACGAGAGGCGCACATAGGGAGACCACCCCCTGCGCACCCCCTTGTATGGGGTCGAGAACATGCCACGCCTGCTGTGCCGTGAACGAAAGGCGCGCATGGGGAGACCACCCCCTGCGCACCCCCTATGGGGCCGAGAGCATGCCACGCCTGCTGTGCCCTGGACGAGAGGCGCACATAGGGAGACCACCCCCTGCGCACCCCCTTGTATGGGGTCGAGAGCATGCCACGCCTGCTGTGCCGTGAACGAAAGGCGCGCATGGGGAGACCACCCCCTGCGCACCCCCTATGGGGCCGAGAGCATGCCACGCCTGCTGTGCCCTGGACGAGAGGCGCGCATGGGGAGACCACCCCCTGCGCACCCCCTTGTATGGGGTCGAGAGCATGCCACGCCTGCTGTGCCCTGGACGAGAGGCGCGCATAGGGAGGCCGCCCCCTGCGCACCCCCCTGTGGGGCCGGGAGCATGCCACGCCTGCTGTGCCCTGGACGAGAGGCGCGCATAGGGAGACTACCCCTGCGCACCCCCATGGGGCCGAGAGAAGGCCACGCCTGCTGCGCTCTGGATTTGTGTCTCTGTGTGTGTGTGTGTCTGTGTGTCTGTGTGTATGTGTCTGTGTCGGTGTGCCTGTGTATGTATGTATGTCACGTCTGCCGCGCTTTGCGGGAGAGAGAGGTGCGCGGGTGAGACGCGGGTGCGACGCGGCAGAGAAGAAAACCATAACCCCACGAAACATGTGGGGAATAAGAAAAAACAAAAAAACGCCCCCGTCGCCAACGGCAGCGCGCCTCCTCCGCCCTCCCCCGCCCAACTGGTCTACCCCGGGCGCCTGGGCGCGCCCTCCCACAGTTGCGCCGCCAACGAAAGGGCCCAACACACATGTCTGCAGAGCAGCGGGCGCACCTGGTGGCCCAGCTGGCCCCGGACGGCGGCGCAGATTCGCGCT